CAATTCTTCCCGGAACTACTTCCCTGAAACATAAATCATACCACTTCATAGACCTCCAAGATTTCATTTCCGGAAAATGGGAATCAAAAGAATTTGCATCCAATAGTTGAGAATCTGGCCCTGCTGTTTTTCCATAGTTGACACCAACATCCCTGTGGGAGACGCTAAGTGATTTCTTATCTGGAAACTTTGTGTATATATTAAAATAGCCACGAGAATGAATAAATTTAATGAACCAAGGAGTCCATATTCTTTCTCCCATCTTTTTGTACCAACCTGTGGTAACCTGTATATAGTTTCTGGATTTTATTAAATTGAAAATACACACCAAATATATGAGCAATGGCAGGTGAAGAAAAGAGCTAAACAACATAAATTTACCATCCCATCAAGAAATGGCTTGTTGTCTTTCGCCTTGTGATCATCGTACCACAACCTAAACTCTTTCCAAGGCTTTGGAAAGAGAAGCTGGCCCCAAGTGCCTACCAGTTGGTAAAAGAAAAGTCCTGAGGTGCTCTCCAGTAGCATCTTGTTTCCATGTTACCTGGAGATGCAAACAAGTAATAAAGGAACACTGAAAACTCATAAAGAAAAGGAAGAAATGGATCATGCTTAGTGGTGGTTGGGTCAATACAATTCTGATGGTTAGAATGGGATGTGTGCTTCTATTTGAGAACAATGTTGTTTTCATAAACAATTTCTTCTTATAAGGAATAACTCAATCAAATGTTGTTTTCATAATCAATTTACGGTATGATTACTCAATAGAAATAAAATGGTGTATTTTGACCTGAGAGGATTACATAATACTATTTTAATAATAACGCTTTTATATAAAATCAGATGCCCAAAATTCAAATGAAAATTTTCATAACTGAAGCCACACTTATGACAAAGCTTCAGTTAGTATGTCGGATTTATCTTCTTCAATTTTAACATAAACCCAATCATCACTGCATTGATTAATATAATTCAGATATATGTGAACTTCAAAATTGTTCATCAAACGATAACAAATATTCATTTCCAATTATGCAAAAAAGGAAAAAGTTCACCTAAACTATAAAAGAAGAGAACGAAACCTAAAAGGAAATAAATGGTACCTGGAACAAACCTTGGGCGCTGAAGGGAAGCTCCATAAACGGAAGGACTAAAATTGGAAGAATTGTAATAATAATTCAAGATCAAAGCTTTCAAATACTTAAAATATAGAGGAGAAAGCTCCAAATCATCTTCCACAACAAAGGCGAACTCATCATCCGATGTAGGCCACCAGGCTTCTAACCATTGTGCCTGAAGACCCCCATTGGCGGTTCTGTAATGCACTATCTTTTGCCCCATTTCCACTCAAACCCATCAACAAACCGCAGAATTCCAAGCGACTCCTGAAGTTTGAGATCGATATCAGATTTGGATTGGTTTGGGAAATGATCGATGAAGATGTGGAGGTGGACCGGGAGGTCGGGATCGTAGTGGGCTCTCGATAGGGAGGTGAGGCAGCGGCTGAGGGAGTTGAGGCGGTTAAGAGTGAGGACTTTGATAGTGAGGGAGAAGGTTGGGGTGGCATAGACGGCGCTGGTGGTGGAAATAGAGTGGGGATTTAGAGGAAGTGTTTGGGTACAGATGGAATTTGGGTGAGCAGAGTAAAGGAGGAGGAGGATGCAGAAGGCTAAGAGGAGGAGGAGGAAAGGTACGAAGTGTTTCTTTGGACGGCCCATAATCTTTCGGGGTTAGAATTTTGGGAAATGATCTGCTGAATTCATAGATCTCTCTCTCTTTGTACAACTCTAGAAAAAGCTCCGTGTGGGGTGGCAATGGCGGATTTTCGTTGGATGTCAAAATATCTAGGATCCAAGACTTGTAACAAAACTGATAGTGTATTGAACTGTCGAAAACGAAAAGTGTTTTGAGCTTTCAAGAGTGGAGGATGGGAAGCGGAGAGTTAAAGCTCAGTTGAAGGGGATTGCAGGTGTGGAATTACGGCGGTGAGGTTGATTGCATGTGGCGGTGGACTTCCACTAAACGTTGCCTCATTGGTACAAAAATGTTGAAATATATGTTTGGAAATGTAATTCTAAACTGGTGTGAAATTTAGAAATAAAACTTGGGTCTTAGCAACTTCGAATTGCTCTTTTGGGTTAGCCCAAAATAGATGCAGTCCAGACTTGGTATTTTGAAAGAAAAAAAAAAGAAATATCCGGTAATTAGGGTATTGAACCCGACGTGAATCGAACACGCAACCTTCTGATCTGGAGTCAGACGCGCTACCATTGCGCCACGGATCCGGATACTCTTGATCCAATGTTTTTTCTTTATAATCATTATAAATATTTACCGGTGATTATTATCCAAATACAGTTAGAGATAGTTACTGAGACAAAAGAGATAATGTTGCATAAACTTAAAGTCTAATCATGAAAATACAGGTTTAATATAAAAAAATATTTAAATTATTCTATTGTTCTATTTAGGTGTTTAAAATTTTTCTTTAGTTAATATAGGTATCTAACGTTACAAGTGTTATTGTTTTAAGTTATAGTCTATCACAATCGTTAAAAAATATGTTAAATTGTATGTGTCGCATTAATATTTTTTGAAATTTTTATTTAAAAAATACATAAAATTATTATTTAGAAAACCTTAAAAATTTTAAAATCTAAAAAAAATCTTAAATTCTTAAAATATATTATTTTAATTTCTTTACCATAGTTGTCGGTAATCTCCAACCATTTATCCATCATCGAACAGCCATTCATCCATCGTCAATCACCTATTGGTTGACCATTTATCATCTCAAATTTCAAAATTCTTAAATTCTTAAATTAAAATCTCTAATATTTAAAATCTTAAATTTTTAATCTCTAATAATCGTCTGCTGCCGTTGTTGGTCTTAATCGTCGGCCACCCATGTGTTTTATTTGTTGTTTTAACCGATTGAAAAACGAAATGATTGAGGTTTTGGGGAGGGAGGGAAAGGGAACGAAGGGTGGAGGTGGGGTAGGGAAGGGAAGGGACGAAGAGTGAGATTATTATCATTTTAAATGTATTTAAAATAATATGTTTGCAATACATGTTATCTAATGAATTCTTTAAAGGTGGTTTTAGTCTGAAACACTTAAAACGATAATATTAATAACGTTAAATATTTATATTAATCGAAAAAAAATCTTATACTTACGTAAGAGAAAGAATATAATTTAAATGATTAAAAAAAGTCGCGCTCATATGTGGCTTGTTATTTTGATCACGTTATATGTTTTTTAATTAAATTCCATATATCTTAAATAATATAATTATGTCATTATGTACATATTATATTTAAAATTTTAATCACACTTTTTCAAAGTATTGCTTGAGAATTTATAAGGATTTTTGAAATTCTTGGAATTCGAATCATTTTATAAATTATGACATCCACCTGTTTGGAGCAGGGATGAACGTGGCAATCCCTGGAAATAAGAACATGAAATGAACGATTAGGTGGTAAAGGCATAAACATCGAAACATGCACAGATTCGAATATGCCACCACCGACACTAAATTCACTTTCACGTGATGTCCAGCTGTCCAATTTTTTCTTAAAAATTTATATTAAACATTAATAATTGATTAATAATAATAATCTATAAATAAATTTACTTTTGTGTTGTGTTATTATTTGATTGATGGTTTTTATTTTAAAATTAATATTTTAAAAACATAATATTAAACATTTCCTTTTAAAAACAAAAACTACCAATGCTACAACTCAAGCTTAAAATCTTTGTTTCAAATCTCCCTGTTCAGCTGTCATTTTATAAACAAGATTTATCAAAGGGTTAACCCAATAAGATCTTATGGAAAACAGACCGAACCGGTTTTAAAGAATTTAAAATACTTTATATAATTTTCAATTGTAAACTATATTAAAAACACAAAAGTATTTTTTTAACTTCAAAATAAAAGCCAACATAAAAAACTAAAGTCTGATCAGACATTTATTATTATTACTTGAATCAATACTTTCATTATTATTATTATTATTATTAATAGGGAACTAAATCCCAATAAACTTTGAGAGAAAATAAAGAAATGTTTTGGTGAAATCAATTGTGTTAGGGTGAATAGTTTCTGTGTGTGTGTGTGTGGAGGTGGACTGGTGGTTTAATTATTCCCAGCTGCCAACCCAATCAATTTGGTTGTTATTCCTTTCAACAACTCATTTTAGATGACTTTTTAACTACTGTGTAAGACAAATACATTCACAATATCTTTCAGATTTATTTCTATTAATTTTAAGTTACCCTCCCACTTAAACAAATAATTTATTCAATTAAATTTCAAACTCTACTCTTAAAACTATGTCATGATTAAATTTAATCTAAACCACTCTTTTATAATAATTATAACTTCAGTAAGTTAAACCCCCCCCGGGGAAGTAACACGTAACAGACTTAATAATTCAAGTCTGCACATGTAAAATAAAAGTAATGCAGTAATAGTAGTTTAATGGCATATCTGCACCTTTCAATGTCCATATGCTCATGTATTAGCATTTATAGGTCGCCCCTCAAATCCCATCTCCATGAATGAAAGTAACCTTCTTCGTGGCAGTATTTCTATATATATAATCTGTTGTTCATTTGAGAATGATTAAATTAGGAAAGAAAATGCCCTTAAAATCTTAAGCTCTTTCCATGCTTCTGAATTTGAAATCACAATTAATTTTATATGAATTTGTGTTCCACGTATTGTTTTCAAAAAAAAAGTCTAGTTTTTTTTACATAAAATAAGTGCAAGAAGAAATTATTACAGAACTGATAATTCAAAAATTAACAGCTTGATCAGTATTATTCGTTTCTTATCATTCACTCGGCTGTTAAAAGAAAAAAGAAGTTGAATCTGACAATTTAATGAACTGGGGCCATCAAAAAAAGATAAACGATAAGAGAAGCCATTATAGTAATTCCATGCAAAAGGCAAGGCCCCATATATAAACCACAACTTTAACTTATTCCACAGCTTTTAAAGTCCAAGAGTTCCTCTGTAGTCCACAAAAACCATCACTGAAAACCAAGAAACATGGGACCGAGCTCTGGTTATTACACAACTTCAGTTCTGCAATTCTTCGCCATTGTTTCTTGTCTTCTGGTTCTATCCTTTTCGGGATCCGCCACTGCGTACAAGAACTACACGGTCGGTGGTTCCCTTGGCTGGTTCGACGCCCTTGAAAAGCCTGATGTCGATTACCAGAAATGGGCCGATTCCAAGAACTTCAGCTTGGGAGATTTCCTTAGTAAGTCCTTTTTATATATTTCCTCTTTGGATCATATGATGCAAATCTATGGATTTTTAGTATATATCCGTCAATAGAACAAAATCATTACAACCCAAATAAGGAAATGTTTTGAAAAGTGGAGGGATTCATCTGTTATGCCGTTCTTAACAATATGAATTAGCACGAACATCTGGGATTTTTTTTTTTAGTTTAGCTGCAAACTACAGATTTTCCTTTTGTAAAAGGTGTAACACTCATACCTACATGCCTCATCTCCACTATAGATTTCATTTTCTTAATTTTTCAACAGTCATGCTTTTAGATTTTTTTAAAAGATAGAAAATACAGATATGAAAAATGATGTTTTTATATATACAAAAATTATATATATTTTTTTTAGAAAAATGAATTTAGTTATCAAATACAGACTGACAGCTGTTTTCTTCCCCATCTCCCATGGTTTTAAGAGAATTCAATAATTGGAAGTGTAAAAAGAAAAATGATAGATTGCATTGCAAGAAAGTCTCCCATGTGCACTTTGCAAATTCTGGTGTTAGAATATGTTTGCTCACTGACATACTGAAAGGGCATTAGATTCTCAAACTACTTGACTTCATGTCTTTTATTCTAAATTAATCTTTAAATTTATAATATTTTATGTTTATTTTTAAATTATAATTTTATTTTAAATTATTTTTAATATACATATTATTTTATTTTAATCATATCTTTAATATGTTGATTTCTGTTGGTTAAAATTTAATACATTTTTAAATTATTAAAAAAGGAACTCGAAAGGTATAAAATTTAATACATTTACTAGTTTTTAAAACATCAGTATCATTGTCAATGATTTTTTAAGTAGATGGTTAAAAATTCTCAATTGACACATTTTTTTCTTTCATAAATTGTAAATTCAATACTTATTAAGAGTTACTTTTTTTTCCTGAAATTGTTGAAAAACAATATTAATATCAGTTTTTTTTTTATTTATTTTTTGTTAAGATGATGCTAATTCTATTAATTAAAACATACTTGCTTTTTAAGATTTTCTTAAAATCTTTAAAATTTAATTCAAAATAGAATCATAATTTAAAATTTTCTTACAATAATAAGAACATATTAATCGAGTTTGATTCTTTTAATGCAATATTTGGGTATATAGAACAGTGTGAACCTGACAAGTTTTGTTTTCATTTAACAGTCTTCAATACGGATAACAACCATTCAATAATCCAAACATACAATTTAACCACGTACAAGCTCTGCGATTACAATGACGCTCTTCAAAACGACACGATCCAATGGTCGGCGGCGGATCCGTCGTCCACGGCGCCTCATCCCATCTCAGTAGCGGTCCCTCTACTGAAAGAAGGGATGACCTATTTCTTCTCCGGTGATTACGACGGCGAGCAATGTAACAATGGTCAGCGCTTCAAGGTAAACGTGACCCACGGCCAAGGGTTGCCCAAGAGCTTACAAGATCCGCCGGATGATGCTCCGGCACCCAACAGTCCAGATTTTGGGAGCGATGATTCCGCCCCTGAAACCATCGTGCCCGCGAACTTCAATCACCCCATTGAAGAGGACAGTGATAAGGATGAAGCTTCTGGTTCTGGATCGATTTCTTTTGGCGGCAAATTCAATGGGTTCTTAATGTTGTTACAAATTGTTTGCATATTCTTGAAATTTTGATGTTTTTTTTTTTTTTATTTTCTTCTTTTATCCCTTATACGATTTTAGTAGCGATATGAGCGTTTAGGATTGGTATATTTGGTTTTTGTAAGATGAAATACAATACAATAATTTATATCATATATAATTTTAGCTCTTAATAATTTTTTTAGAATCATCCACAACTCCTCAAATTTCTATTTTCCCCTTTTTTACAGTCACGATTCTCTTAATGTTGTATGAATCATATGGTGTCAATTAAATTATATCTGTATTATAAAATAAAAATCATAATTTAACGTGTTAAAGGGTAAACCAAGGCACTGCATTCCATGAAAATTATCAACGCTTTCCGAGCATGGAAAACAATTGGAGAAACCATAGCGGTTTATTGTTTAATCCTCCTACAAAAGAATGAAGATATTGGACCAAAACAGGAACATTCAAAACAAAGCATGAAATAAAAACACATCAAATACAGTTAAACTTGGACTCCCATGTTCATTTCACTTCTTTCATGTCCTCTTCACTTTTCCACACAACACATCTTCCAGACAGGTTGAGAGGCTTTTGTAGAACTGCAGAGAGACAAAAACGAAAAACTCGAACCTTTAATCGCCGGAAAATGTAATCTCGGTGATGACCGAGCGAATTTAGAAACACGAAAGAGCATATGTGCTCGAGAACGCTTCAACTTGGATAATATCATAGAGACGATCTAAGGACTAATCGAAAAATTATAACAGGAACCAACGGTATGCCATTACATAACTCTCATTGGTAGTTTGTCCAAATCGGAAGACATGATATGGTATATTCAGAAACTGTAATGGAAAGAACGACAGGGTACCTTGTTGAACTCCAATGTGTCCCCCTTTGCTTTTCGAACCTCAACCATGTGTAAACAAGGTGCCACTTGAAATATCTGATTGACCAAATAAACAGATCGATCAGTAGAAAATACAAGCCAAGCTTTAAATGAGATGTTGCTTTAACTCTAAGTTACCTCGGTGGCGACGTTAAGGTTCCCTTTCCGTCCCGCTTTCAGATTCTCTAGTCTCATCTACATGGAACAATACAAAATAAGTAATTACAAAAATATATATATAAATTCTGATAAATGCCTTCATTATATCGTGCGTAAGATTTGTTCACCTTGTAGTTTTTCTTGTGGACATCAAATCCCAGAGGCTTTGCAGCTTCTTCGATTTTATGGATAATCTCATTAGCAGGACATTTAGATGTAAACCTTGTTTCTTTCTTAAATCCCTGCAGAAAACAGAACCACCACCGGTTACTTTTAATGCAAAACTCGATTTTCCGATTTCGTTGTGATTTTTCGATAACCTATCTCATTTTAGTACATCATAGGAAACCTCGAAAAACCTATTGACCCGATATTAGAAACACTTGATACTTTCATAAAACAACTTTATAAACATCTAAATCAAGGTTAACTCTTTTGACATGGATACAAACCTCTTCTGCATCAAACAGATTCCCGAGGTTTAACCCTTTCGACATAGAAATTAACTCGAACGCGTTCATGGCTGTTGGTTGTTCTTCTCTCCTTTCCGTCACATGGTGCTCCTGTTACATAACCAACACGCCGAATTTATTAAGACAAACTTAAAGAAGCACCAAATATAACAGCCCCTTCTACAGTATTAGATGTCAATTGTGCCATAACTTAAGAGAAAGACCACATCAACTTACTTCGTAATCCTTAAAAGCAGCTTCAACATCATCTAAATTCGTATCGTCTTTCTCCTCGAACACAGGAGGCTTGTAATCCCTTTTAAACCATTCATCCTTCAAAATTTCAGGAACCGTAATGCGCTGCAATAACATCACACCAAGCGGAAATGATTACAGAAAATCAAAACAAAAGTTTGTGAAGGAGATGATTTCCTAAAATTAAAGGCCAACAATATATATGCATGAAGCATGATTACATGCAAGCAGAGATGAACCTTAAAGCCGAACCCTCCTGCCGGAAAGGCTTTGTTATTTATTTGTCCATTGTCATAATTAAAGAAACTAGTTGTTTTCTTGTAAATACTTGTAATTGACAATGTCATACAGTGATAAACAGTAAGACACCAACTTCAAAATTCGGAATAGATGATCGATATAGAAGAACATCAAAGAGGTATAGTGTAGTTATCTCTCCTTATAAATTATATGCAGGCCAAGAATTAGAAACCTTTCAGAGGGGGAAAGAGCAAAAAGAGAAAGAGCAGATAGGATTATACATTTTTAATATCCATTCTGCAGATTTCTCGGACTCCATCTCCCACGGTTATGTCCACTAACAAAGGAAACATGTTAGACTATAGTATCGAAGATGGAGGGGCAAAAGACCAAAGAAAAAAAACATAGATTTTCAAACCTCATAGTTATGTCATAAGGAACAATGTTCAGGAAAATCCGTATTTAGCAGAATTATTATACATTCAGCAAGAATTTAACTAGGCAACTTTTGTGTAGAACATTTCTTTTCTATCATGAGTATAGCTTTATTTTAACTTGGTAGCGAAGCCTGAAAAACATTCATGCATAATAACTTACAGTCATCGGGTTTGGATCCAGGATTCGAGTTATCAACTTCATTGCACTAAAAGATAGCCAAGGGGGGCAAGTGAATTCTGCTGCTGAAATCTGTACATCCCGAAAATCAGAGTGCAAAACAGGCAACACAAATAACAATGGATAAATGCAACATGCAATAAAGAAATGCACACCTTTTTGTACAGGTTCATAAGATTAGAATCATCAAAAGGTAAGTAACCTGCAAGCAACACAAAGAGTATCACTCCGCACGACCACAAGTCAGCAGTTGCCCCATCATAGCCTCCATCATCGAGGACCTATGTTTAGAAGAGAAAAATATTGTTAATAGCTGCGGTTTATAAGGGGTTAAACAAATGGTGAAAAGAAAATTAGTGTGCTTAAATGATTGTCCGCACCTCAGGAGCAACGTAATTCGGTGTTCCACATGTAGTGTGAAGGAGACCATCATCCTATAAATTCAACTTTGGGTTAGACATATTTTGGAATGTTCTAAAGCCATCAAAGACAAACAGAGACAGAATTGGTCTTACACATTTACAGAATCAGTTACATCAGGACTTGGGAGATTTAAAAACTTAAATGAATGTTTAAATAAGTAGACAAAAAAGTTAAAGACTAAGGAAGCTCGAGATTTCAGATATCAAAGTTTAATCATCGCATATCGTGTAGAAGGAAAAAGATGTCGTAATTACCCTGACTTGCTTAGATAGTGCACTCAATCCGAAGTCTGAAATTTTGAGGTTACCATAAGCATCCAACAGCAAATTTTCAGGCTGCAAGAAAATGAAGAGAACGTATAAGTGAGCATCATTTCCTGACAGCATAATATGCATGCATGGAGACATATATATATCACGTATAAACATATTGTCCTTAAACAATGCCGAGTTAAAATACCTTCAGATCCCTATGGTAGACTCCCCTGCTATGGCAATAATCAACAGCATTGATGAGTTGGTGGAAATATCTCCGTGCCTCATCTTCTCTCATCCGTCCATTGTTTACCTTCAGAATTAAGAAATGGTTAATGACAAAGATGTAAAGTTAGGTACTTGTTAAACAAAGTAAAATATATAACCAATACCGAAACTAGGAAATATAATAGTGGAGCTCTAGGATTAAAGAGACCATGAGCAAAAATGAGAATCTAACATAATATGCAGAACTTGTAGTTAAATAAGAAAAAACAAATGTCCAAGATTCAGCAACTCACAATTTTGTCGAAGAGCTCTCCCCCGGTGACGAACTCCAAAACAATGAATATCTTTGTCTTGCTTCCCATCACCTGAGTAGAAGCGTACAAAATAATTTGAGACAAACACCGAGAGATCTATTAATTTTTCTAAAGATGCATGAGTGAAAACTATAAAGTATACTTTTCTAGATTTATTAATGTTGTTGACCAACAATTATTAACTGATTCAAGAGGATTCTATACTTTGAAGCCTCAAAGTATAAGAACAGAAGGCAAGATAAAACCATGTAACAATAACAAAAAAATGAGTTCTTATGTTTTTTTTAATCTTAATCATATGTGAAGCACATGTAAAGGGAGAGCATACGTGTGCACACAGTTCAGAGATGAAAATATGCAAGCTACTAAAAGCCAAAATTGAAAAGAGCCTGATATCTCAATATTGAAATATCATGATGCCACCGATTTTACTGTTAAAGCTAAAGATAAAAATGAAGAAGGGAGGCTTTGTTTTTCTTGGAAATGATTCCAAAACTCCAATCCATTATTGAGGAATATGGATTTTATTGCATAAAACATAATCCTGTAATGGAACCAAGGTGAAGAAGAAGAATGAGTAGATGGTGCATAAATCAACCCCACCCCACCACAAACACAACTGGCCAACACGAAGACACACGCAGAGAGAGAGAGAGAGAGAGAGAAACCTCATATAAACGGACGACATTAGGATGCTTTATCAACTTCATTGTTGCTATTTCTCTCTTGATCTGCAAAAGCAAGCAGGAGGACACCTAAGAAATCAAGTACAATACATGAAACATAGATTTTACCTTCTTAAAAACGTGGTTATAGCACAGCCAATGAAAGTTCCTTAGCAGATCGCAAAAGCAACATAGTAGAGATGAGGAAGCAAGCAGAGGAAAAAGAAGGGTTCAAAAGAAACCTGTTCAGCCATCTTGTGCTTGAGAACCTTCTCTTTATCAAGGATCTTAATTGCCACAGGTTCCCCAGTCTCAGAATTTCTTGCAAACTTCACTTTAGCAAATGTCCCTTCCCCAAGAGTCCTTCCCATCTCGTATTTACCCACACGACGCTTAATTTTAGTTTGATTCATTCCTCTTACACTCACTTCTTGCAAGATTTGAAAGCCTGCTCCTGTCAAAAATGTCAAGACATAATAAATCCCACACCAACATGAATGAAAAAGAACGTTGAAAAGTGAATATTCGAATTGAAAACTTGGTGGAAATTCAATCTGATATCCAAAGAAGAAAAGCAATTGTCATTGAAATGCCATCAGACATACAGAAAAACATATGATGAAAACCAGAAAAAAAGGGTAAAATCCCAGCAAAGTAAAACAACCAAATGTAGTGAACTACCCACTATTAAACTCAAGTGATTTG